GGGGGGGGGGGGGGGGGGGGGGGGGGGGGGGGGGGGATCGGTTCTTGCGCCTGTTTTCGTATAGATAGCCGAGAAGCTCTCCTTCGGTTGTTGTCGGTGGTGATGGTGGTGACGGCGATGGTGGCGGCACAACCACGACAACCACAACAGTATCAGTTCCTCAACCACATGCGACCACACGACAGCAACATCAACACCGCAAACCACGTACACCCACGCGACCGCACCCAACAACGATCCCTCGTATCCCCAACACCTTCCACCGCTTGTCAGCTCTTGGCCGAAGAGCTCCTCCAAGCGGCACCCGGCGGAATCCTCCCCCCCGGCATGTCAGCGATGCAGCGGCAGCCAGCGGTCTCGATGTCAGCGAACGGGGGTGCTAGCTCTCCCTCCTCTCGCCGGGAGCGCCGTCGGGGGGAGCAAGGAGGAGCGTCCACTGCTGCTGCCGCCGCCGCTGCGGGCTGGGTCCCCCGGGTCCCCGCCGGGGTGGAAGCGCACCCCGGGCAGGTTCAGCTCATGCAGCGGTGTCTAAGGTGCGGTTTGGTGTCTTTGTGTTTGTCTTCGTTGTTGTTAGCATCAACGGCGCTGGTGAACACGAGGTCAGTCTCAGTGTGGTTGTTTGTGCGTGTCTTTGTTTCGAACACCGACGCAGCTAACGGGCTGACCGATGAAAAGACGTCAGTCTTTGTGCGTCCGAAAAGAGAAAATGCTCCTGTGGCCTGATCTCATCTGGGGTAGGGTGTGTTTTTGTGTGTGTTCACTGTTGTGAGCATCAACCGTGCTGAATAGTAGCTGGCTGTATGCCTCTCACGTCCCCCCCCGCACCGGCTTTATTACTTTCATGCACACACCCACACACCCTTTCCTTGCTCCCTCCATTCTTTCACACACACACACACACACATCTCGACCTCTTACTTTCTCGTCCCCCCCCCCCTGGCTCCACCACCATCTTCAACACACGCATCCCTGGGTCAATGTTTGCACCCACCCACTGCCCCCCCTCGGTGTTTGCCATCGGGATTGGGTTTTCGTCGCTTGGCAACGACGTTGTAAAACAAGCCAATTCACTTCGTGAACTCGGCAACCAGGTTACCGTTTTGTTTTTTTTCTACCTCGGTTTTTTATTTTTGGCGGTAACCATAATGGTGGTCGAGTAGATCATGCGCGGGGTCGAGAACCCTCACTCCGCGCAAGGGGGATGATACCACCACGTTGTGTTAAGATGGTCAAGCACCCTCGAGGCAGGTACACAGTGCTTACAACTGTCTCTGGAAGTGAAACACCACACATTACATTAAGTCATACGCAGCTGTCATCCGTACGCAAGGAAGTAAGCACAGGATGCCGAACACCCTTAGCAGGATGCAGCGCACCCTTCATGCGACTCGCCGAATATCTCACGGCGCTTCGCGCTTGGTGATGTGAGAGCCTGGTCCGGTGAGAACCCGGCGTGCTACGTCCCAGCTTTGTAGAGATGCGAGGTCAATGGTCTATCAACTACGGCATGCGCGACTATGAGAACCCCCCCCCCCCTCACCAACATCTGAATATCCCTTGTGCATGCATGCCTGTATGAAGGCACGAGCGGGAGCTACGCCCCGGAGGCTTCTACCCGATCGTTCTCTTCCTCCACGACCTCGTCAAGAGCCTGGGGGGCGACGAGCGACGCAACAACGCCCTCTGGCTCGGACCTACGACGAGCTCGGATAGGCCGCCGTCGTCCTCGTCGCTCGCGCCCCGGGAGGGAGGGGGATTGGTCTCGGCGGCGGCGGCGGCTCCTGCTGCTGCTGCTGACCCGGAAGGTGTTGGTGGTGCTGGTGGTGTAGAGGCGGGGCGTCAGGAGAGGGACTGGTCGGCACAGGAGCGACAGGTGTGTGTGTGTGTGTGTGTGTGTGTGTGTGTGTGTGTGTGTGTTTTCATTATAAGCATCGGCCGCGCTAACCGACTGACCAATAAAGATACGCCAGTCTCAGTGCGGTTGAAAAACACATGACACTTCTAAAAGCTGTAACTAGGACCCCGTGAGGGGCCGGCATGGAGGAGACTAACCTATTCTCCGGATCAAAGACAGAAGCGGTAGCAACAGAAGAAAACGTCTACGAAGGCTGCTACCTTGTGTGTGTGTGTGTGTGTGTGTGTGTG